TGCCTCCGATGCCTCGGATTCATCATCTGTCCTCGTTTAACATTTAATGTTAAAGAAGGACAGATAATGAATTCGAGGCATCGGAGGCATCCGAGCGACGTTTCCGAATGCAGCCATAGTCGGTATGACAGATTTCCTAACCTGCAGAGTCGTCAACTTTAACGCTAAATATCTCGGTTCGCGAGGCAGAGCGACACTTTTTTCTGCCAGATTCTTTCGTTTTGTGCAAAAACGCGTCGAATAAGCCTAATTTCATCGAAATCGGAGGTGAGGGAGGTATTCTGAATAATTACCGAAAATATTGTAACGCGTAGGCATATTCCTAACCTATAATGTACATGACTTTATAACGCATAAGTAAACAATTATAGATAATATCCAGAAAATAACTATGCCAAACTCTTGCGTGCAAATAAAAATTCAGCGACTAAGGAATTTCTTATAAAACATTTCCCGAGAAATCCAGGCAGAAAGGCTCAATGGGTTATAAATATTCCATGAGCATATTGGATACTCATGGATTTCAGCTGTATTTGTGAGGTATGATACTTATATTTATTTAACAGCCAACTTCCTATAAGCCATTATTCGTAGTCAAATCTTATATTTATTCAGATTAGACTTTATCTGAAATTCAGATTAAACTACAATATCTTCAGATTCTTTGCAGCCAATGAAACGAACTGCATAGTATCTGAAGATACTTATACTAATAGTTTATCAAAACATAGTTTATATTATATACATGTAAATTTATAATATACATTATTAAATACATTTTCATGACATAACTGAATATTTTTTCTTTTTCGCGTTTAAACACAAATTTTTGCATAATGCATAAAATATAAGAAAATCAATCCAGAGTCTTTTATTTTAGGAAGAAAATAAACCCAGATAACGTGCAAAATCTTTAAGGACTTTGATTGGTATAGTTTTTTATGCATTATGCATACAGATGTAAACGACGGAAAAATTCTAAAAATAATTAAAAAGTTAAAATATAGTATAATGATTAATATAGTTTAATGTGGATGGCTATAAATATATCTTACCTTTCACTATTATTTGAATGATTTATATTGTTTCAATTTTAAAAGTTAAGTAAGTTCTATACTGTTATTAATATAAATAATACTTTATTAGACTAATTGACACTGTTTTTGTCATATACTGTGATTGTATATATATATATATGTATATATATGTATACTGTGTGTTGTACATATTCTAAATTTAAATTTGTGAGACAACGTTCATCGAATCTCTAATTACTCTTGAATCAATATTATATTGGGATGTTGTCTCAAAATAAATAAAATATAGAATACAAAATAATTAAAATACAGAATAATTAAAATAGAGTACAATTATAACCAATATGCAACGAAACAGTATCTTATGCTTATAAAGTATTATCTGTATTAATAATATTATTTATTTAGCTTTTAAATATAAAATATCTGTCGTTCAAATAATTATATTGAAATAACTGTTTTTTTCATGAATTTTATGTAATTTGGTATCGTTATTTACAGTAAAAAAAAATTACTTTTTTTACTTGATACTTTTCTCCGAAGTAAAAATACCGTTTTTTTTACTTCTCTAATTATGCGTTATACGATATGCAATAGTCTGTGCCTCAAACTAGAGATCCTCAAGTATTCTTTAAATAAAATCATAAAGTGTATTCTCTAAAGTATTCTCTAAATAAAATCATAAAGTGTTCTCTAAATAAAAGTATTCTCTAAATAAAATCATACATGTGTGAACATTCCGCTTTATACATTACGTTTTTCTACTCCCTTTGTTTTTAATATGTATCATCTTCTAGTAAGTATACTCACAAAGTAAAGATGCGACAAACAGAAATTTAGCGAAGTGAATATCATATATTCACTTAGATTTACATGTCAAAAAAGTACCGGGAATTGTCGATTTAAATCTGGCGGGGCAATGAGGCAGGTAAAATTTTTTTTTCCTAGGTTGGTACCACTGTCCTTAATTACTATGCCAAGTTTGAGCGGGATCTGTCAACCAGTGTGTTTGCAACAGCTGGTTAAGTCAGTCGATGTCAGTAGTGCGTGCCGATTTTTTACTATGGGTGATTACGTTGAGCAAAGAATTTGTTTAAAGTTTTGTGTTGCAAATGAATTTTCGTGTGCCGATGCATTGAAAATGTTGCAAAAGGCCTTTGGTGATAATGCTCTATCGAAAACTCGTGCATATCAGTGGTACAGAGCCTTCAAGGACGGTCGTGAAGTGGTCGAAGACTTGCCTCGTTCCGGACGCCCATCGACGGCTTCGACCGAAGATAACGTCGATAAAATGAAGGAAACGGTGCTTGAGAGAGATAGCACATGAGCTTGAGATATCCCACGAGTCCGCACGTACGATTTTGATTGATATTTTGGGCATGAGAAAGGTGGCCGCACGACTCGTACCGAAAGAGCTGAATTTTCTTCAAAAACGCCATCGCGAACAGGTCGCTTCAGACATGCTGGATCGCTGTAATTCCGATTCCACATTCATGGAACGCATTATAACTGGTGATGAGACCTGGGTCTACGAGTACGATATGCAAACAAGTCAGCAAGCATCGGAATGGATGGGAAAAAATGAGCCGAAACCGAAAAAACCACGCCAAAGCCGCTCGAAAATGAAGGTGATGCTCATTGTTTTCTTCGATATCCGTGGCGTGGTGCACTACGAATTCGTTCCAGAGGGTCAGACGGTAAACAAGGAGTATTACCTAGGCGTTATGAAACGTTTGCGTGAGCGTATCCGTAAGAAGCGGCCAAATTTGTGGGCGAACAACTCGTGGATTTTGCATGACGATAACGCGTCTTCTCACCGAGCTACGATTGTGACCGACTTTCTCGCCAAAAACTCAACGAACGTGCTTCAGCAACCACCGTATTCGCCGGATTTGGCCCCCTGTGACTTTTTCCTCTTCCCAAAACTAAAATTGCCGCTTCGTGGCACCCATTTTGAGTCGATTGAAGCCATAAAACAAAATTCGGCGCGAGAGCTAAAGGCCATCCCGGAAAGCGCCTATAAAAAATGTTTCGATGATTGGAAGTGCCGTTGGCATAAATGTATTGGAGCAAATGGAGCCTATTTTGAAGGCGACCCAATAAATTTTGATGATTCTATGTGAAAATGTTTTAATTGAAAATTCCCGGTACTTTCTTGACAGAATGTATGTTCGCCGCGTTTTATCTTATATAAATAGGAATAAAATACGGTTGCGCTATTGATTGCACCATATTCTTGCAACGTCGTCAATCAATCCCGTAGCGATTTCAATTCGCGCATCTCTTATTTGAGGATCTCTAACCGATAAGACTTAGAACTACCGACTACCGATTCATTGTAGAATCAGCTTAAGTTACATGTTTCGTGTGATTTCGTAATCTTAACGCGATACTTATACACTGTACTGTACTTTCTTGGATTGTATCATATGTCGGACGATAATTCAACAACACTATTAAAAAACAATGTTTTTCATATCAATTGTGACATTTACAATTTAGTTTTTCACAGATAAATATCTCATATTTTTCTTTTATTAACATTTTATTAGGATGTTCACAATTTTTTATTCAATTAAAATAATATGACTAAACAAATTTTAAAAATTGTTTTATTTGCTTTACATACATTTTCATTCAATTGGCGCTCTTTATGTAGAACTATTTAAGAAAATTTACAGAAATTTCATAAATTCACTAATATTTCTTATGTATATTAATAATAATTACGAACTTAACGCGATGTTTTACGTTGATATCACACCGGATATATTCAACCGTATTAAACATCACAGAAAAATTATTCTGACACAATATATTATTATTGCTACATATATATGTATATATGTATATATGTATGTATATACATATATATATATGAACTTTTTAAGAAAATTATCTCAAGTGCCTATTATTATCTCCTTACATAGCTTTGTATAATACAAGCTCTACACAAAATCTATATTTCTTATTTTTATATAGATATTAGATATATACATGATTATTTTTATCTCTCGTTGTACCTTTATATCTTCATATTCTACAAACATAAAAAAATTTTTTATACATTTAACTCTAATAGCTTTGGGATGGCAACTCTAACAATCTTCTTCCGAAGAAAAGTTAGCATTAATATCTATAGATCTAATGTGTCTGTTATTCTATTTCGTGAATTGTGAATCTCTCAATAAGTTAAATTGATATATATATATAATCTTCATACCCGTGAAATTTTCGCGATAATTGTCATCCATTTTAAGCGTATGTCGATTATTAACACATACGTAAACATTTAAATATATATATATATATTAGATTTAGTTTCAAAAATCCTTGGATACCGTAAAACTGATCAGACTTTCACAGGAATATATGTATTGAATTAATCACGAGTTTAAGCACTTCTGACTCTACAAACTGTTAAATATTTTAAAAACCTGATATATATCATGACAAAGTCATCTTCTCCAGTCTTTACATTATAAGTATAGAAGAAAAGAATGTCGATTTTATATCCGGGCAGGATTAAATGACATTTGGCTGATCTGGAATAAGCGAGGCAAAAAACGAACTAAAGAAGGTCCAAGTAAAGGCAAGAGCGCCTGGGCGTTGTTCTTCATTCTCTTCATTGGCATTTGTTCGTGCTTCTGGTTGCACGGTTGGCACTTGAGCGTTTTGCTGTTGCGGTACAGCCTGAGGACCTACTACTTCGTTCTGTAATACTTGGTTGTTGTTGTCTGCGCGTCCGTTGTTATTTTCGGCCAATAGGATTGGCTGTACCCTAAAGAACCCACCTTGATATCTATAACGAATACCTTGTATTACACCTAATAATTTTCAAACAAATTCAAAGAAGAAGCATCAAAGAAACGTGTGCGTGCGTGCGTGCGTGCATGCGTGCGTGTGTGTGTGTGTGTATGTGTGTGCGCGCGCGCGCACGCGCGTGTACATATAAAAGAACAATTGTGATGTCTGCACTGAGAAAAAAAATTAATTATCTTTTAATAAATATTTCTTTAAAAAGTGCTAGCAGATATTAACGTATGGTACATAAATATTCAGATAAATGAAAAAATGGAGTTAAATCAAACTAAAGTTCTTGTACTTAATAAATATGAGTTTATGTTTAGTAAATATTCCGCTAGGACTATTCAAAGAAATATTAAAATTTGGTAAATTTTTTCTCAGTGTATTAAAGAATATTAAAGAATTGAGACTCACAGATATATCGCAAATCCCAGAAACGTGACGATGAGGAACCTGAGTGGAGATGAATAGAAATACACTATACCAAATAGAACGACGATTCTAGACAACATGTAGAAGAAATCCAACCAGTCGCGGTTAAATGCAGCATCCTCGCCTGCACCGTTATTTCCTGCATTGATGTCAGCTGCATCTTGAGCCACTGGTTGGGGTTGTTCATCGCCAACATTATTGTTATTATTGCTCGTGTATGTATGTTGAGCCGTATCACTTGTGTTGATATTCATTTGCTGCAAGTATGGAATACTGGCTTGCAACTGTATACCTTGCGCTGCCATTCTGAAAAGAACAGCATTACAACATTTATGCATTTCTTGTATCTTTAACAAACAGTTGTAAAAGACAGCTTACAGTTGCATATACTGTGTAAAATAATGTGTATACGCCTGTTGCATCCAAGCTAATTGTTGACTATTTCGAGGATCAAGATACTGCTGAGATAAGTATTGTTGATGCTGAGATGCAGTAACATTAGCATTCTCATGACTTTGATTCTGAATAGTGTTACTTCTTATATAAGTATTTCTTGTTGTAGATGCAGCATCTACTGCATTTCTTTCAATTGATTGATTTTGATCCAACGTAGCCTTAGCAGCACACATCTTTTGTGGGGTACAGACTAGATGAACAGTATATGCTTGATCCTCTGAACCATCGCACT